TGCTGCCAACTAGTGGTCAGAGGCTGAACTACAACATAAAAATGAACGGCTGGCAGGAAAGTTGACATTTTAAACCTTAATAAAAAATTGATACACGGCTTTAGAATATCGATACAGTATCAGGAAATGAAATATCGCGATATTTCAGTGTATCGATATTTTCTTACAGCCCTAGTAAAAGCATAACTTTTTCAGAACACGGAGCACTGAACTACCTCTGAGAAGCTCCAGTGCTTGCAGCCTCGTATCAGTCCAGAGATGATCTCAGCCACGCATCGTTGTTTGCTCTCGTGAGAATCTGCCACCAGGCGCTCCATGTGTGGCTCCAGCACAGGCAGAAAGGCGTTGCCGAAATTACGGAACAGTCCCTGTTAGACAAGGAAGCGAAGATTTAGTTTGTGTTTTTATTTGTTTTTTGTACTCTTCCAGATTAAAACTGATCTCACTTTGAACAAACAGAATCTGCGAGGGCTGAACTTGTCCTTGCCCTTACGATCCTCCAGAGAGAGAAACTCAACAAACTGGTTGATGAAAACTGGATCTGAGAAGTGGTCAAAGATGATCTGCTCCCGCTGGAGGAGAAACAATAACAATGACTACTTGGAACCTGTGTATGGTTTGTTCTTTGTTTTTTCTTTTCAAAATAAAATTGCAAAAACAAAACAAGCATGTTGTTTTGTTTTTCTGTTTTTAAAACCTAAATGTAAAAATGCAAAATCGAATTAATAGAAAATCAACAGCGTTTGATTTTTGCTTTAGCCATCTAAATAAAAATAAAATACGGTTGTTCTTTTAATATGTAGCGATACCGGAAATGAAGTAAGTCGCCAAAGAAGGATAGTTTACAGTGGATAAAAGACGGCATAAAAACAAACCAGTCTTAAATAATAGGCAATGGCTGCACTTGAACCATTTTCTGCATTTATTATCAAACTTTTTGAGAGAGGAAATACAAACGTATCAATTTTTGAACTGGCAGATTCGGAAGTGTTAACTAACAAGAGTTTGTGCCGGGAGATCAGGTCTTCATTTCCAGTTCCACCATAAGTTCCCGTTGAATTAATAAAAAATAAAAGCTTGTCTTTGGTTTAATCATTGTAGTTTATATAATATGCGTCGATTCCCTCTAAATAATACAAGCGCATCCATTTTTGAACCAGCAGATTTGGAAGTGCTAACTGAAAAGAGTTTGTGTCGGGAGATCAGNAAACATACCCCTTTTTTAATTTTTGCAATTGCCTTTTTTCTAATTTTGTTTTAAAAACGGAAAAACAAAAAAATCACATGCTTGTTTTGTTTTTGCAATTTTATTTTGAAACGAAAAAACCAAAGAACGAACCATACACTGATTAATTGGATGCACTAGATGGAATTTCTACAAGAGAGATGATGTAGTTACAAACCTCTGTCATTTCCTCTCTGCTCAGGTTCTGTTGGGGCTGCTCCTCCTGAGGTGCATACATCATCAGTTTCCTATGGAGCAATTATAAGTTGACACGTTTGACAAATATCAAAACACATAAAAAAWATATATGAGAAGAAAATAAAATAAYGCAGAAATATATGGAAATATAAAATGAGTACCTTGGCCAGCAGTAGTATCCCCAGTGTGTCTTTTCCACAAACATACACTTATCCCAGTCTCCCTGTGTGCGTGGCAGTTTGTTGCTGTTATACTGGAGCCACTGGTTGTCTGGACGGTCCCCAACCGCAAACTTATCCTCCATCACATCACCTACCAAAGAAAGGCACAGATTGTTAAAACAGACATTTAATTTCATGTAACTTCAAAAACAAAATAAATAAAAAAAAACTTACAGTGCTTYCAAAGCTCAGAAGAGCTAACAGGGACTTTCTTATGTGGTCTTTTTATTTGTTTCAGGATCCCGGCCACAGCTGATATCGCCACCTATTGGAGAAAATTATTATTATTTTAATGTGTTCAACTCACAGCATCATCCCCACATCGTGTCAATAATATATGCCACACCTTGCGAACATAGATGGAATCGTGGTTGAGGCTTTCCACAAAGAATGTAATCGCTGGAGGTGGCAGCTGGTGGTCGTCTCTRAACAGCAAAGACAAGAAGCCGATAGAGATGTGCTCGAATTTCCAAGGCCTGACGTTARAAACAAGTGTCAGAGGCAGTAACGACACGTAAACATGTTTACATTATAACATACATGTTCCTGTTGCTGAGGCAGTCCAGTAGATCGCCAATGAGACCTTCGTATTTCCTACAAAATGACATGTAAAATGAATTAGTTTGTTTCATATGTAACGAAAAGTAAGTAAAGTAAAGTTTTATTTATATAGTGCCTTTCACAGAAATAAATTCACAAGGTTCTGTACATTCAGGGAAGTGGGGAGGGGGCAGTTAAGAAACACCCATTCAAGAAGACATACGAGGCAAACATYGGGGAACAGGTGAAACCGGTCATGCAGCAAACACAGTTGCACTACATTTAACAACAGAAAAACTAAAAACCACACAAGGATAGATGAGGAAAAAAAATTAAAAATAAAAAAGTAGACATTCTTTTATATAAAGTTTGAGTTGTAGTAGCTGTTAGCGTAAAACTTACTCAACAGCTTCAGAGTTTTTGCCCTTCTGATGGTTTAAACCTGCGTCCGACTCTTCTCCAGACGGCACGGGCTCCTTAGGAAAAGGATTTCCCGAAGTCATGAGCTGTTTTGCCACAGAACAACACTCACCAGAGAGCTAAAGGTATACAAAAGATAAAACACAGAGTGTCAGTAATAAGAAGGGGATACAGATTAGGTGCACTGAAAGACCAAAAAGCTTTAAAAATCATTATTTTGGAGATGCATTGAAAATACTGGCTTATATTTTTCCCAGTGTTGAACTCACAGTGAAGTCGATGCCGATGGTCTCATATTGCCGATGGATTTTGTCGGCGAGGTCGTCAAAAAGGCGCACGATGGAGGGCTTCTCGAGTGACATGGCTGAGCTGAGGCCGGAGCGAACAACAGCAGGCCACGTCAGAGCAATGCACTCCCAGTCATGCAGATTAGCTAGACACACTCCACTGTGGTTCCCGAGAAGACAGTACAAAGCACCCTGGAAATAAATCATAAAAACACAATAAATGATATTCTCTAAAATAATAAAAATACACTGCATCGTATTTTATTTTATTGAGTTTTATATTGCAGAAAGGACTGTCGTACTTTGAACTGCTGTTGAGTGACACTGCTGTTGTCTGGGTTGAGAAACTCGAGGACGAGGGGGATCAGATCTCTGCAGCAYAAATTGTAGGTTCCCAGTGCAGTGAACAATACATTCTGAGCTCTGCTGCGCACCTGAAACATGAGAAAAGTCCCAATTTATTTATTTTTATCAATATTCTAACAGCACAAACCCTGTTAAATTAAAGAAAAGTGTAAATAGGAGCAAACAAACACCAGATAATGTGTAACTCACTTGACTGTATGTGCTTGTAGAAAGCCTCAAAAGGTCTTTCATCAGCTCCTGGTGGATGGTCCTGTACTGACAGCCTTCCACAGTCAGTTTCCTCAGCTGATTAATTACAAACATTAAAAGTTATGYAAGGTAAAATGATAAGAAATGTTTCAAAGAAATACCATTTAATTCTGACTTTCAAAAAAGCTACTAAATGATGCTACATGGCACCAGAAAACAAATAACCATAATTAAGGCGTTAAGAATATGTTAAGATTTTTTAAGTTACTGAGGAGGTTTTAAAACTCAAATCTTCTAAGTTGGCAACGCTGTWCCTAAAGGGATATTTCCTTTAAAATAAAAAACCTTACCTCATGCTGAAGCATGACTCTGTCAATAAGAAGAGCTCTGATGTGTTGTTTTCTGCCGTGAAGCTGCAGGTGGGGGGAAAAAAAAAACCAGGGCACTTGAAATTAGCAAACATAAAATAAATAAATATTTTTAAAAAAATATGCAGTAGAATTTATTTTTAACACCTAATGATCACATCTGGAGGAAGAAAAAACTCTTACTCTGTTTTCCATTGATTTCTTTACAAGGTTGAAACTCTTCCAGCGGGAGTCAAACTCGTGCTTGTGGGAACCTTTGAAGTGCAAAAGGTCGCTGATAATCTGAAAAGAATCAAAGAAATCACTTGGCCTGATATCAGTGCAACACTTTGAACAGTTTTGTGTAAAATAAATAAACATAGCTCAATTACAATTAGCTGTAAAGACTTAAGTTTTACAAAATCAGGCACCACATGACAACCAGGAATCCTGTAAATCAATAAGTTTGCATTTTTAACATCCTCACCAACTCACCTTGATGATGGAGAATAGAGACTTGGTGTCATCTTCAGAATGCTCCAAAATGTAATCTGCAAGCAACAGATAATCAGAAAAAACTACACATTACTGAAAGCTTCCTTATTGGATAAGACGAGACTACAYCAAAATAAGAGATTAAACTTAAACTAGGTGAAGACGTACGCAGCAGCTGTTTCATCACGTTACAAATAGCATCTCTGTAGTTCTCTCTGGTCCTATCTGTAAATAGAAAGAATTTTAAATGATAAAATTATAACACATAAATATCTTTTTTTTTTTCTCTCTCTGAGAATTACGTACCATACTCCATTCCTGTATACAGGGTGGTCTCATCCAGATTCACCATGCTGTGAACTCTGAGAAAAAGCACGATAGCACATTGATGTTATGGCTTAAAGTCAAAGGTAGTACAAGAGCCAACGTTTTAAATAAAACAGTATTTTTTTTATTCTTTTCATATTTAGTAGAAGGTTTTGACATGCAGCCACTTACAGGTCAGTGATGGGCTCCCCTTTCAGCGGAGGCATCAAACTCCCGGCTCCCAGGAGACAGTGCTGAACAATAGTGAGGCTTTGCAGGACATCATCTCTAGAGGGGGAAAAAATATACACAGAAATGATCAACACACGCTTTTATTGTATACAAATTAAAACAAGGTAAAGATATACCTAARTTAAAAGAAAAATGATTGTACAGTGTACATTTTACAAGTAATCAGATCATCACCTGCTCATGTCCTGTTCTCCTTTTGCAAATCTCTGAAGGCGCTGAAGTTCAGGCTGGAGGATTATGTCCAGCAAGTAAAAAGCAAATGAGGTCTCCTCAACACTGGGGACATGCCACTGGATATCCAAGTTCCACAAGTCTCCAGGCCGGCCCCAGTCCTGCAGACAAAAATATATATTTTAATAACAATTTTCTATACTGAAGGTTTTTTTGTTTTTCTTTTCAAACACAACTTATAATGTGTGTTTCCTCTTGACCAGAGAAACTTAAAATAAAAATAAAATGCTATAAACTGAAAATTTCCTAAAACTGAGAAGAAAAAGCTTCTTTTCCTTTACATCTAAGATATTTACCAAAAGTGACAACTGTACATTGGGCCTCATGCAAGAACCGTTCGTACGCACAGATTTGTTCTTAAGTTGTGCGTACGAGTGATTTAGGAGAATTTGTGGCATTCACCAATATTTTCGTATTCTA